TATATATATTTTCCAAAAGTGTATACCATTTAAAATTATTACATACAATGGTATACACTTTTGACGTTCGATGGCTGAGTGGTAGCGTGCCACGCTCCCATGCTACAGGTCCTGGATTCAATCCTCAGGCCGGGCAAGGTTGCCTTTCATCAGCCTTTCATCCCTTCACTGGGTCGATAAATGAGTACCAAGCATGCTTGGGAACTGAACACTGGGGGTTCCGCGTTTGGCTGACCACCTGACAGGAACATCTGCTCCTGCACCCAAAAGTCCAAGGTCAAGAAAACTGAGATGGGCACAGTAGGCCTTGGCCCTCTATGGGCTGTCGCACCACTGAATTTAGTTTTAGGTATATACTTTTACATTTTTTTGAAACTGCAATTGCAAATATGCTAATAAACAGTAATCACATTGCTAAGAAAACAATGATATTGAAATGAGAAAAAACTATTTTACAAGCAAAATATTATTTTCTTATTTTTGAAATAAAAATTATTAGAAACATTTGTTCAAAGTTCAAAAATTATAATTATATACTCACTACATTTCATTTGCAATTTATCCAGTTATTATTTTTTTTTTTATGTCTTCTTTTAACAAATTCTGTTTTTTTTTATGTATCTTTTAACTAATTCTTAACAGAATAAGCAAAGAATATTATTATAGAAAATCAAATAAAAGTTAATAAAACACTTATTTGTATGCAAAGATCAGCTTCTTTTGATAATTTCAAATTACAAAATCATGAAAAGATTATATTTTACCCTTTATTAGGATGCACCACAATAGCCCTAGGCCTTTTCAGGTTTCTTAACAATGTCCGCCGATATTGAAAATGCACTGTATTAATCACATTTAAAGTTCCTTTGCGGCTGTCAATATAGTACAGGTTATTGGACACCCAATCAAAAGCAAGGCCTTCAACTCCTTCATTCTGAGAGGCTAATACATTAGTTTGACCTGAAACAATATATTATATAAGTAATTGATATCATATCCTACAATAATATTCTTAAATATTTATTTAAAATATTTTTTATTTATCACTGTTTATATTTTAAATTAAGCAAACAAGAAATTTCAGTAACCTGAGATCACATTGTCCATCACAGGGACATAGCATTGTCCATAAAAGCTATTTAAAGTATACTTACACAAAGAAAAGATAATAATTAAAATAGAATAGACAAAAAACAATTAATAAAAAACAACAAACTAGCAGTTAATAGAATGTCTTTCAATCTGTGTTCATTTTACGAGACACAAATTAAGTGTTAATTAATAGAAAACTAATTTCGAAAAAAATTCTCAATAACATTAACTATGCATAAAAATTCTTTTGATTTGTATTTGAATGTGCCTTTTCTCATGTTTTACAAATTGATGAGAATATTGTTGGAGAATTTAGGAGCTAAATAACTGAAATTCTCGAGTAAGGTATATTTGGAAGCATCAGTGCTTGGCATTTTCATTAAATCTATGTGGAATTCGTCCTTTTCTCATATGTTTGGATCTAAAAATCAACTCTTGAAATCAAAAAGTTAAGCTACTATTTCACTTTTTGATTGTAAACGAAAAATAAGAATTTAGAATATGTTTAAATTCATTATTAATATCCAAAAGTGTACCTTTAACAATAGCTTTCTCTTAAAAATTATAAAACAATAAAAGAGTGTAATTTGAAAAATAATAAATAAATTTGAAGCGTGTACTTCTGAGGATTTAAATAAAAGTTTTCATTAATCATAATAAAAGAAGTAAATTTATTATATTATTAAATTAGAAGCAATATTATTTGAATCTGAAACTTTACTTACCAGTTCCATCAACTTTTATTCGATAAATAACATCCAAAATAACGTCAGAATAGTATATAAATCCTTGCTGGGCATCAAAATCAAGGCCTACAAATCTAGCACTCTTACTTACAATAGGAATCATAGCATCAGCAAAACCATTGGCAACAGGATTAAGTATTACCCCTCGAACAAATTTTTGCTGAGCGTATAACAGAAATTCTTCAACCTCTATAAAAAATATTAACGAAGTACAAATTATTCAATCATCCTGTAATTTTATATTTGTAAAATTATTTATTAAAGATAAAAAAAAATACAATAAAAGTAATAAAAAAACACAAAAACTTACTTTTGCAAGTTTTTCCATTCGATGTAATCTCATAGCCAACATTACAGACACAGCGATAGCCAAGGCTAAAGCTGTCAGCTGACCGAGTCAAAAGACACATATGTTGACAACCACCATTGCTGAAATAACAGGGGTTTGGAACTGCAAGAAAAAAGTTTTTTTTTAAATTTAACTTAGCAAAGCATGACTAAATTATGAAATTCAGGTATTAAATGTTATTATGGTATTTACTGTATTCTTTTCTAAATATGATTAAATTCGCAAAGGGAACAGATAAATCAAGACAATGCACTAAAAATTGTAAGAGATAATTAGTAGGTAAATTTCTTTTTTTTTTTAATTTTCTCATCTTGGGTATTAGTTTCTCTTACTAGATTTTACTTGTTCAGAATTTTTTATGCATAACTAAAAAATTTAAATAGCTTTTAAAATTATAAATGTATTAATCCTCTAAAGAAACAGATTAATGAAAAAAAATTAACTTGACCAAAGGGATAAACTTTGTTGAAATTTAAATTTCATAAGTGGGCATTTATCAAGAAAGCTACACTAGGACATAGCTAGAGAAAGATACTTAACAAAGAAAAATTTGTTTATTTCAAATTTAATGTATACTGTTCTATTTTTTGAAAATTTCTGTGTATATAATAGCAACACAAAAACAAATATTATATTTGAAATATTCAGAATCTAAAAAAATGACATGATTAGATTAGGTTTTTGAAACATAACTAATTACTAACATCCAACTTACCAAGAACTTCACGTAAAGGGTGATAGGCTTTGATAGCTTTAGGTTCTTTCAACAAGGAACGATCACGATAAATAGTTTGAACATTAGAGGTGTTGTATAAGTCAGCTTTCAAAACTCCCTGTCTTGTTCCATCAGTCCAATAGATATTATTTTCAAACATAGTTAATTTACTAGGAGATGGCACTTTGGTACTTCCTCTTATTATGGATGTCCTAAAAGTAAAATTTACAAAGTGCGTAAAATTTAAATTTATTTTCGATATTCAATTTTTTTTACTACTTATCAAATAAGAAAAAATATTTAAGATGTCAATGTAGCATAGAAATATTGATATTTCAGTTTTTTAATGACATTCTCACAAAATTTATGGTTAACTACAAGTTTTAATAGGATAAATTTTACAGAGAGTTCCACACATTTACAAACGTTCTCAATGTAATTCCATACATTCATTGATAAAAAAACACATAATATTATTAGTATAAGTTTCAACAGTTAGTGACTAATCCAGGCAATGAACTATAGCATTTTCCCTTATATGCCCAGTGATTTGAACTCATCTCCAAAGATAAGCGAATTAAGTCAAGTATTAGAACTAGCATACAATTCTCGAAGCTAAATATTCTAAATTTTTTTTACTCAAAGCAGAAAAACTCTCACAATTAACACAGGAGTAATATTATTCTAAGCTGTAGATGACAACCTGTGACCAACCAGCAAAGAATAAAAAAAAAAGGAAGAAAATGTCATCTTCAGGAGAACTTTGCTAATAGGTTAGCCACCCCTGTTACAACCCATTATTTGAGTATATTTTATACATGTTTAGGTGCTACGTTCATACCTTTTGCTATGGCCAGGGTAAGAATATAGGGCCTATTTTTATGTTTAGGGAGGGCTGCTTAGTAAATGTAAAACGGATTAATTTGCTCAATATACTTATCAATTGAAGGCAAACACTTGGATCACATCATATAACAGAATTATAGAACCTTTCATTTGATATTTTAAATGAAAATAACAAAAACTAAATAAATAAATTGTATCAAGTCTGACCAAATAAAAGTCGCAGTCTGCTTATTAACCTTGAGCTTGTAAAATGAAGAACATAAACATAATTTTTTTTTCATACTTTGTAAAGGGATTTTGGTGTTCACATTTTGGATGGGAAGTATTTTGAAAACGTGAATGGCTATGGCACAGTTGCCAAGGACCTGAGCTGTCATAGTAAAGGACCAGTATCCATCCGTTGCAGTAGTTTAAACATCGATAAGTACTAGCTTGTCAGGGAAATAAAGGTGGCTGATGTACAATGCAGATTACACTGCCACCAATATGCTAATGGTTGCAAAATTGTGGAACCTTAATCTCCATGACCACAGGCCCACAACAAATTATTGTGGGAATGCTTTAATTTTTTTTAAAATTATTCCAGCAAAACTTTTCATTTGTTTTCAGTAAATTTCCCAAACATTATTATTTATGCAATCATTATTTAAAACACTTTACCTAATCTAAAAGCATCCTACAAAAAATTAATGCCAAAGAAAAGTGTTTGAAAATTAGGAACTATATTTTACCTTCCGCTTCCATCATAGTTGACAGCAACTATTTGATCGAGTTGAGAATCACACCAAAATACTCTTTTGGTTACATAATCTAAAGTTAAGCCAGATGCTTTGTAAATGAAAGTGTTGACGATTGTGACTCTGATTGTACCATCCATGTTAGCTCTGTCAATATTGTCAGCATCACTGAAGAACATCAAACTAAAATAAAAATGTATTTTAAGAACATGCAACCATGTGCTAAAAACCATAGATTTCAGAAAAAGAATTATTTAACATTTAAAAAAACAATTAATTGATAGTTCATTAATAAATAAACAAGAAATTGATAAATACTAAAAAAATAAGGAAATATATATGAGATAAGTTTTTTCCCCATCTGGATTCATTTTTCAGCCTAGTATTTCTAATTTTCATTCCATTTCCTTTCTTTATTCATATATTTATTCTTTATTCATATTCACATTACTTTCATTTATCAATTTACTTATTTTAGTTACAGACCTACTGAAATAATGCATGTTTTTTTTAAAAGTTAAGTCAAAATATGATATTCGTTGGAAATTTTAAAAGTTTTAAGTTGAAATCAAAATGAACATGCAAAGGATAAAATGAGAGAAAATCTTTTTAGCTGATCTAATTTCTAGTCCATGACTTTTTTTTCCTTAAAAATTCTTTTCAAATAAATCTACAATAAAACTGAGTATATTAATAACTGTATAACTCGACAAGAAGAATCTAGTTTAAATAATTTTTCTCAAATTGAAAATAATTTCCACAGTTTTCATTAAAATTCTTCAATTAACAAGTTTCAGTACAAATTCTATAATGAAATTATTTCTAAAATAATTATATTATTAGCAACTTTTGACCATGACCTTTTCTAAGTATTAAAAATTTTGAGTTATAAAACGTTTTAGAGAAAATGATGTTGACATAAAATTACAGCGCAGGTGCAGATCAACTTTTGTGATCCACTACATGTCTTCAAAAGTTTGACATAACCAAACTTCTTGTCTTACTTTTTTATATAAGAAATTAACTTTTACAAACTGTACTCGTAAATCAAGCAGTGTAATAGGAATCCAGTTTTTGAGAAGCTAGTTATGAAGTTAGTAATTTAAATATGGTAAGCTCACTAGATGAAAAATTAGTACACATTAATCAATCATAAAAAGCCTGATTTAATACCCTGTAATTCAACCTCCGAGCTTGAGAACTACCTGAATTTCGTTAGGAAGTGAGTCAATAAGTTTTGACGGGTACATCACATCCAATTAAAAGTTACTCAATGAGGATTTCATTGCATAAATTCTCTAAATTACAAGGATGCTAGTTTCAGTGTTTTACCCATGTTCTAAAATGTGCCACAGATTTTTTTTTATGGGGTTCAAGTCAAGTGATTTTGCATGCCCATTGGCATGTATATGAATGTTTATACCCCAGTCTAATAGTCTTCCAGTTGGATAAACTTTGATGTCGAATTGAAAAAGAGGGTTATTAACTTATCATGAAGATATTTTTTTAATTTTACAATCAGCAATGAATAGCTGACCCAATTCTGAGTTTATGACTATCAATGTTTAACTCTGTAGTCTTTAATTATCAACCCAATCCAGAAGACAAGGAAATTTATGGATACTTAGAGAAATACTTAGTACTTAGAGAAATTAGCTCACATTTGCATTACATGAAAACTTTCCATGATTAGCATAACAGCAAGGGGACTTTAGCCTATGATCAGTCTACCACTAGGATGAGCGCTGTAGTCAATGTGAACCAAGTGCAGAATTCGTAACGACCAGCCATTGCTGTGATTCGAACCCGGGTCATGTAACAGGGAGGTGAGCGCTCTAGACCCTGAGCCACCATGGCTGATCATGAAAATATTAACTGGTTCATGAAGATATTGGATAAAGGAAACATGATAGTTCATTTAAAAGACCCGCATTCAGCTTTAAACTGATTCTTTTAAGGCCCACTAATTGATTGTCCTATAAGCTTATGAAACTTTTTAAAATATTATAAGTGAATTAAACAATAAACAAATACTAATTTAGGAAGTTCAAAAATAATATGTACCCCAAGTGTGGATCCAATGCAATGTCCATTGGGGAAGAGAGATTGCGACTAATGAGAATTGCATATCGACTTCCATCCAATTCCATAACATCAATTTTTTGACCAACAGCATCACAAACATAAATTTTATTGCCAATCCAATCAATAGCAAATGCAGTAGGACTCCATGGGAAAGAAACATTAAAATCAGGCACATGATCTGAGTTCCGCCAAGGGTCTAGCTTTATTGAATAAATCTATCAATAAAAAAACAAAAATTAGTAATGGTAATGAATAGAAACTCTTAACTAATACTTAAGAAGAATTAAGTAATTTTAAATAGGAAATAAGGTTTTATTAAAATAAAAAAATGTAGTTTATTGACATCACAAATAGCTACATTTTTAGCGTACTCTCTAAAAATGTTTAGAGAATTAGTTTGCAAAATAAAATTACTAAATTGATGTACAAATCTTCAGCCTATTTTTGACCTGAAAACATACAAATAAGATAAATACACTTGTATTGCTGGCTTATGTACATCTGAAATCCTTTTTAAAATCATTATATATCTATTAATAATATCAATTAATAATATATCTATTAATAATACAGTCTGTGAAAACTTTCTAATAAAAATAAAATGTCATAAAAAATGAAATGTTTTAGAAAAAAAGCAAAAATAATAATAATTAATAAATACATTTGTAAACGAATCAGAAAAATTTTTGATGCACACATTTCATTTATTGCCTATCTTTAAATTGTGTATGGTTAATATTTAAATTATCAAAGCTGGCAACTTCATTTAGTCCAAATGAAGTATTTAAATAATATTAAGAGAAAATATGCAGTCAGTAAAGGAATTGTTCCAATATTAATCAAAGATAAGAGTTCGAATATCAAAAACCATAATTTCAGCTATCTTAACTTGATTATATTTTACAATATAACGAAGCATCACTAATCTATTTTGCTTTCAAAAAATTTTTTAAGAAATTAATAAGTATTTCATAATTTTTTTATCCATATCTAACTTTTAAATGAACAAAAAATTTTTTTAAGATATACATATTATTAAAACACATTCATGTGTATAAATGATATTACATTCTCACAAAAAAAATTTATGCATGAGGCAAGAAGACAAAAAATGCATCAAGACTTTTCTAAGAAATCAACTTAGTGTGATTGTGCATTAGGACAAAATTGTTGATGAATATTAAAAGCATTTCATTATGCATATACAATGAAGTAAAAACAATCATGCAGTTTTTAGTACAGCGTCTAATAAATTATTGAAGATGGAATCAAAGTAAAACTTTCGACTACCAACACTCAGAAAAAATTTTTGATGTTTCCAGACTAATTTTATCAAATTTAATCAATATTTATTACTACAGTCGAGACATTTTATTATTGAATTTCCAGTTAAGCCTTATTCTTCTACATAAATATATTATAGAACACTTACACTTGCTATTAGAGTTGAAAATAAACAATTAAAAAAATAATAACAAGACCAAATTCTTTGAGAAATATTGAACTTTTAGGTATCTGAAACTAGATAAAATTTTCTCTGATTTTTGTGAAACTTTTTTTAGGGGGGGGGGCGGTATTTTAATAAAATTCCTTGACATTTTTCAGATTTTACTAGATTGATTAAATTCTTTGATCTCTCCATATTCTTCGGCCATCCTGTACAATAAAGAAATTGAAAAAGTTTTCATTAATGCTTACTTTCCGCGTAACAGTATCTGACCAGAATAAAAGATTTTTTCCATAGTGATAGTCCAAACCACTAGCAGCGGTAGTATTTGTTATCAATTCTAATAAGGAACCTTCAGCATTGACTTTAAAAATGGCACTATGATGAGCAAAAATAAGTCTCATAGCAGAACCTAGAGAAAAAAAAGTAGTATTAGTCACAGATCATAGTAATCAGCTAATTTATCAATGAATGTGTCAAACCGAAAACAATACTTAGCATTCAACGTAATTATTAGATAGTAATCAATGTACAGAATAAAACAAAGAATTTCTGCATGTAGAGGTCCGCTTACCGGATTGTGGCACTAGACATTCTCAACATTAAGCTAAATTAGTACATTTGTAAGCAAATAATGAAGCCAGATTTTAGATTTTTTTAATTATAAATTTTTTCAGGGGTACCTTTTTTTTGAGTGGGTAGTTTTTTTTTAATATTTCTCAAAGCCCATCGCACTAAAATGAAGCATCCTAGAATTTTAATTTTTTTTATTTTTAAGTTCAGTCTTTTTCCTTCAAAATAAACATTTAATCTTTTCTACTGACAATTATTTCTATTTTTAAAAAAAATAATTTGAAAAACCTACTCAAATTATTTTTTCAATTTTACTTCGTTATCTTTTTCCCCAAAATTTTTTAAAGAGAATATACGGTATACATTAACTTTGAATTGAGATAAACAAATGTAGTGAACTTTCCCTTTTCATATAAGACCAGAAAGAAGATAAACAGATGATTAGACAATTTTAAAAGAATAAAAAAATTACAAAACGTCTGATGCTCATGGCAACCATTTTTACTGTTGACGCCCGTTTATTTCATCTCTCGAGCAATACATGCTAACTAAGTACAACTAAGTGCATGCGTTGCTTTTCTTATATGCCGTAGTTTTGGAATATAGTTATAATAGCAGAGATTTTCTAGTTTAAAGCTCTAATAAACCAAATATGAGTTTCATTGGGAGTGCATTTAATTAACTAAGGAAGAAATTATTCTGTAATATAACAGAAGGATCAATTTAGCTAAGAGCACATACTTTATCGAGCGCATATTGTACGATTTTTACTTCATCCTTTTCTGAAATACAAATCCCATAGAATCAAAGCACAGCTGCTGAATGTAGCAGAATCAATGTGGAGCAGCGAAAAGGTGACTTCATAGAGGCAGAAAACAATGTAAAATAGCCAAGCGGTGAGTTCATGCAGCAAATCAGCTAGTGGGGGCAAGAGGCTAGTATTTAATAAATGAAGTCGTTACAAATGTCTTCACTAAGTAGGATAGTTATTAAACACCAGATGTGGAGAGTGTTACTACTGTAAAAGTACTTGACCATATACGGCTTAATTTTTATAGAAGTTTGATTAGAATTGTGTTCATCTTGATAAAAAAATATAAAAAAATTTAATAAATAACAAAGCTTTAAGAAGAACCTAATAACATTTTCTGAGAAAATGCTATTTTAATCAGGACAACAAAATAGAAAATTGTTGGTGTGAATATTTGAAAAAGAAAGAAAAAAAAACATTTTGTTCCAAAACTTTCTACACTTGTTATGACAATAAATTTTAACTTACTGTTTCTGGCTTTACAATGCTTTGGTCGAACCAGATCATAATCTGTAACACAGGAGCACATGTAACTGCCCATAGTATTGACACATACTTGTTCACAATAACCCCATTCATTGCATTCATTCAAATCTGAAAAAGTAAATAATTTATTATAGTTATTGCTATACTATTATGATCAGAAAGAATAACGATATAGAATAATTGAGCATAAAAAATTACTAGCGCTTTAACTTAAATAAAAAAGAACTGTTGAGCAATAATCTATAATCGAAAATTTCATTTACAATTTTCATTACAACACTTTAATTAATTTGAAATATACTTTAATTAAATTGAAATATACTTTAATAAAATTATACTGTAATATATTGTATCATATTGGGCAATAAAATAAAAATATAATTAAGTTTTTCCAGTCTCTTCAACTTCACATGCATGAATTTCACTAAGTTAAGGAAAAATTTATAATTGTAAAAGGAAATTTTAAATAGTGTAACAAAATAACATCAAGTCAAGAGAGAGGGACAGTTTACTTTTGTTATCAGTCAGTAAAAAATTGACTGATGATAAAATAAACCGATAAGTATTAATGATCTTATTGTTTATATTTACTTAAAAAAACAAAGTAAAAACAAAATAGTGACACTTCTTTTCATATTCTTGTCTCAAGTAAGTCTTAAGTCTCAATTTTTGTTAATACAAAATCATTTACAGCATATTACTTACAAGATGCAATGGAAAAAAAAAGCTTTTTAAATATTCTATGAAATGACAAAAGAAGAATAATACATACCTACACATTTTTGAGAGTTCAAGGGATCAACTTTCATTCCAAGTCCACAAAAACATTCACCACCTTCAAGTGATGCACGACAATCATATTCACATCTTAGTGACCTACACAGGTGAGATGCTAAATAAAAACAGAAATTAAAAAATCAATTAGAAGGCAAAATCATGATCTTGAATTGCATAGATATTTAATTTAACAATATTTTTGGAAAAGTAGGTATCAATCCTAATAAACACAACATTTGCAAGTGTACTGGGAGAAAAGCATGCCAAATTAATAATAATACATGCAGATAAAGATATTGAGAATCAGAGCTTAAAAGAAAGAAAAAACATGAAACATTTTGGTATATTTGAGAAAATTATCTATACGGCAGAAAGTTTAAGAAAATGTTTATTAAGCATTTTTCCATAAGAAGAAGAAATAAAACTCATTAAAAAACTTGGTAAAATAAATAAATATTCTGCACGTAACAGTTGACCATAACATGCTCTAATGAGTTTCTAGTTCATGTTTCAATAGAAAATTGAGTATATTCAAGAAAAGTCACTAAACACAACTTTTAAATATTTTCAATTAGTGAAAAATTATGTTTCATTTGTCAATGAAATAAATAGCTTAAATTTCTTACAAAGCTTTCATTAGAACTGTATTTTTCTTTACACTCGCAAAGATATTACTGCAAAAATATATACTGCAACAAAATAGAAAAAAAAAGGGCGTAGCATTAGGGGCAGCCAACTTTTTATTTATAGAAAACTGTTTGTTTGTTTTCAGTTTCATAACTATATGCATACTTGTTTAAATAAAAAGTTAGAAACCAAAAACAAGCAAAACGAAATTTTAAAGATATGCATGTTAAGAAAACATCACTTCATCAGGAGTAAACACTAAAAAATGTGAACCCTATCATTTGCTTTGCTGAAGAGCTTATAAAAATGCACAAACTTACAACATGCATTTTTCTCGTCGGCTCCATCTTCACAGTCACGTGTTCCATCACAAAGTTTCTTTTTATCAATACACTTCTTCTCTGCTGGACACAGGAATCTAGAGTCAGGGCATGATATTAACGCTAAAAAGAATAAAAGAGAAAAAGCATTAAATAACATTGTAAAATTTAACGTACGTTTGAAAAACTGATAAATATCTTAAAGTAACAAGAAACAAAATAATGCAGAATTTTAAGTAATATTAAAATCTCAAAAGCCTCTTAAGTGCAATTACATTCCTTACTTAATATTTTTCAAATATGATCAGTTTAATTTTAAAAGATCATCCCCAATCTATTCTTTCAGTTGTAATTATTTGTAACAGCATCAAAAGCCTAAATGGCAAAGAGAATTTGACACAAACTTTATTAATTCTCAGTTTCCTGTCTCTCTAAGATAAGATTTGCACATTAAAGACTAAACTTCTGAGGAAAATTTTCCTTAGAACAACAAATTTATCTCGTAAAACACTATAGAATTTTGGGCAAACTACATCAATTTCTTACTAAACCTAATTCTTCACCAAAGCATAAAAATTATCATTTAAATTCACTTTTAAAAGATTTAATAGACATTGTAGTAGGAAAGTGCAATAAAACTAAACTCATTTATCTCTCAAAACTAAGAAATTGGTTCCCTCTGGTTAAGAACCCTACTACATAGACCAATGTTTCTCAACCTATGGATTGTGATCTAGAATTTGGTTGTGGCGCCTTTTGAAAAGGGTCTGCAGTAGTATAGTGTAATCAAACTGATCACATTTCTTACTTGAAATTTCCATTTATAGGGAGAACTTGCTTATGGTTAGGAACCTTTATTCTAGACCAAGATTCTCAACTTATAGATTGTGACTCAGAATTCGGTTGAGGAAGCTTTCGAATCAAAGCTTCTCATAAAATAAAAAAATGAAATCCTTCAAATTAAAATCCAGTAATAAAATAAAAAAATATTAAATTAATCAAAATGTGAATTAAAGGTTAATAATATATTCATACTGCAATTAGCTTCATCAGAATGATCTGTACAGTCAGCATGTCCATCACACCTCCATCGCATTGGAATGCAGATAGCGTTGGTGCATCTAAACTGCCCATTGTTGCAAGCGGGAAACTCTATAAGCAATCCAAGAGCAATTAGAATATAAGATATAAATATAAACATATTTTTAAAGATTTTTAACTGTTAAATCAAAAAAAATTCCTTTTTAACAAATTAATTTTAAGTACTTTTCTAATATTAATTTTTTGATTAATATTAATTTAATTTTTATATTAACTTAAATTTTTTCTTCTATTTCTTTGAAATAGATGGGGAAAAAAAGCTGTAAAATTGATACATACCACATTCAGCTTCGTCAGAATTGTCGCCACAATCATTCCAATGATCACATTTTTTACTTTCATCTATACATTTCTGTCCATTTGCACAACGAAATTCATTTAATCTACATTTTGTTGTGTCTAAAATGGAATAAAAACTTGAGTTAATTGTATTATGATAGTTGATAATTATTTTAAATATAATGGATGTAAATCATTTGCCTGATATATTTAAATCAACAAAAAAAAATTAGGTTAAGTAAATTTAAACTGCTATTATTTTTGAGTATAACTTTACACCTGTACACATTTACTTACAAGACTAATGGGGCTAAAAAAAGGAAGGTTCAGAACCAGAAACAATTATAAAACACAATGAGCCATGCTGGCTCAAGAGCGTTTTCCGCAATACGAATTCCGCATCCAGCTTGCATCGACCACAGTGTTGATGTAAAATATCCTCAGAGGTAAACAGATCTTGGGTTTAGAGTTCCCTTGCCATTAGGCTAACCGTGGGAGATTTTCATGGTTTTTCACTCCGTGTAAAGTAAACCGGGTTAGTTCCATCAAAAAGTCCTCCACAAAGGCAAATTTTTCCCAATACTTGATCCAGGAGTTCCCTTGTCTTCTGGATTGTATTCAAAATTAGAAGGCTACGAAGTTAAACATTAGTAGTCGTAAACCCAAAATTGGGTCGGCTGTTCAACAATGGATATAAAATATAAAACAACAATAGTGCCGAAAATACTTCCTTTTGAGAAATTACCCACAACTCATACAGATAGTCTTATCAATAATATTCTGCCCCCCGGGTAAAGCCAAATTTAATAGTTTTAATATTTTATAAAATTATGAAAAATTTTCTCTTAGATACAAAACAATTAAAAATGTTTGTCTTACATGAAAAAAAATTCTCAAAACATTAGAAACGTTGTTTTAAAATTAGTTTTCAAAAAAATATATAAATTAAAAAAAACGATAAAAAACTTAAATTAGATTCTTATTTTAGAAAATACAATTTTAATATTAATCATGGAATTTGAAGTAAAATTAACAAAAAACTACTTTAACACAGATTATGCAGCATTAAGTCTAATTTAAATGAAATCATAGAGTTATCCGAAAAGTTAAAAACTCAGAACTTACTGGTTTTACATAGTTCATCAGATTCATCACTTTCATCTCGACAATCATAATAATGATCACATCGTTTTTCTATAGGAATGCATAATCCACTACCACACTTATGGTCACTGGGCATACAATTTCTATAATCTGAAATAGGGAAAATAGCATTAAAAAAAGCCAGTACATTAAGGTAAATGATAAATTTAAGGGATGATGCTTTTACGGTCTACTTACTACACGTTTCGCCTTCATCAGTGCCATCTACACAATCTACCACTCTATCACATCGCCAGTATCGAGGTATACAATATGACTGATTAAAAACATAATGGCCACATGAAAATTGATTAGGATTGCACTGTGGGGGTGCTGAAACAGAATGCATTGAACTATATATTTTTTTCCGATAAAAAACATATAGTAATAAAGTAAATTTTAAAGAGACCACAATTTTTATCCAAATAAAGAAGGAAGAAGGATTCTCCGTGCATTATATAAAAGCTAAAACAATTTGAAGAAAGCGTAAATAATGTCATACAAACAGATAAATGGTATTAGTATGCAGGGACCAAGAGCCTAAAAATTTTCGTTGCTCCAGATCCACTCCCATATAATGAGCTAAAGCTCCAGCAATTTTACTATAAATTTATGTGTGCTTTTGAGTTTTAGATTTTAATTTGAAATATTAATTATAAAAAGAAACATTAAAAAAATTATATAATTATCAACTCACGCAAAAAAATACAAATTTAATTTAATTCCCTGTTGAATCATTTGTTCATTTTTAATAATAAATCCTCTTTTATTTAACGGGCAATGCCATTACAATGTGGCAGGCCCCTTGAATGTCTGAAGGATACAATGATATCGCTGGAGCACAGAAAAATTTAGTGCTTCAGCCAGAAATTGGTTTGTGAGGTTGCTGGACGTTCTAAAGATTTTCACTATTTGGCAAATATTATCTGACTATTCAGCAAACTTACAAAATTTCGCATTCTCCCTTTCATTTACTTTATTTTTTTAAGAAGCACAAATGAAATGATTACACGTTTACTTGACTTTTTTAAGTAGTTACGAAAAAAAGTATGCTTAAGTATAGTATAAGGTAGCCATTTCGCAATTTTGAATCTAAAAGAAATCTAATTCCCTCCTTGTCATTGCCTATCACTCGTCTTGGTGCTTTTATTTCCAAATACATACATGCCAGTTTCATCTGAAACAGGGTGATAAAAATTAGCTTATCATAATACCTTTTTGTATCATCCAACAAGGAAATTTGCGAAGTCAGTATTTTTCAAACTGTGACCACGTTATGAATGTATAGTTGAAGCAGTTATGAGTTTAATTCGTTCCAAGACCAAAATTTTAAAACAGAAAATATTCAATACCTTATACATGGTACTAAGATGAAATACTATTCTTCTCCTGTTATATTGAATTACTTTTATTTAATACATGCGCGGCCCTCGCGATTTTTAAAATTATTGTTGTAGCTCTTGGATAGTAAGAGGTTGAAAATCTCTAGATTAATGTATATACATATTGCAAATACAAATTATTTGTAGTTTTTCAAAATATAATACTTATTACAAATAATTATTGATACAAATAATTATTTGTAAATTTTATACTACACCAATCAAACTTAATTTCTAAACTGCCATCATAAATTTCTTAAGCACTATACATGATTGATTGTCAGATAGTTTATACATATTTGGTTGAATTGATAGGTAGCATTGATGGTGAGCAAGAACATTTTTAATCGAATTTATTAAACACTGAATAAAATATGTAAGTATAAATTTTGCTAACACTTAAAATGTAAAAATAATAACTTACAGCTTCATCACTCAATTTTTTAGAGTCGCTTTTGATACCCCTTCATTATAATATGTAAGAATAATTGTAGGCGCTAATTTATGATTCGGTCAAAATAGGAATTTCATTTGGCAAAAGGGAAATTTTCCTCCATCCAAAAAATCTAAGTTCGCGGTGCCCCTGGTTTCAGCTCCGGCCCCAGAATCGGAGTAATTTTATTCAACTCCCCAATAGTACAGAAACTATCATATATGCCTGTTGTATGACATTATTTGGCTTTCTTCATATTGTTCCAACTTTAATTAAAACTTCAAGATTTAGTTTGTGTTTTAATAAAAGATAGAAATAATGAAAATAGATTTGTAAGAGAAAAGATTTTAATCTGGCACATATTTGTTTATAGACATCACTATCTATCATTTTACATCATTATCTATCAATGCCACATAAATTAATTTAATTGAAATACAACTTAAGTACAATGCGTAACACATAATCTATTATATTAATTAGATTACTGTGCAGAAAGGACGTAAATTATCATCGATTGGCTGTTGAGCTCTTTCTGTACGGTGATTAATTTTATGCATATGAATAGCATATTGAGTAATAGAACGATCGCATATTGAGTAATAAAAGATAGGAAACGATATTAGGCCATTTGACAGAAGACGTTTTTGATCAAAATTTAATTAGTTCATCAACAATGACTGCACATTGATGTACCATTAGTGTGTCTGTCAAATGAATTTTAATGCAGGGTTATGGTATAAGAATTCATTCGTGAAAGATTGTATATTCGTTGATAAATCGTTATCATTATTTGATTCCATAGCGATTAATCAATGCAGTATAATTAAACATTTTCAGATTAGGTTCTCATTGACAGCTCGTTATATTTAGTCTGAAACTAATTAATTACAGACAATAAACTGTATGCTGTCAGGTAAATAACAATCTGGCCAATCGACGGTTTGAGCCTTACGGGCCAAAAAATAAATTCAAAAAACCGTACATATTTAAATCTTGAAAAGAGTGCTTTTGAATCCCCGGACGATGGAACGCTAACACAAATCATATTAGTCTCTAAAAATACATGACGAGAGATTCGAATCCTCGCCATTTTGGATTTTAGGTTATATTTTTGACTTTCGTTTTCTTCATATTTTATTTTTGTACCTTAACTTTTGAGGATATAGCACAATATTATAATTCGACAGCACAATATTTTCCAAAAAAGGTGGAAAATAAAAAGGTTGCTTGTAACGCTTGAAAATTTTTTGAAATTCTGTGAATTTTCTTTTAAATTATAAAGCGATAAGAACGAACTTCTGAAACTTCGTTCCTCCGATGTTATGACCACTATTTACCTCTCCTTCCCCATTTTTCTTAACTTTACTCCGCATATTTAACACAAAAATTACTGGGCTCATCATCGTATGTGAACTAACTTCAAAAATGGGGGCGAAAAAAACGAGGGATTTATGCGATAATAAGCGAGCATGCACCATATGTAAAAAGTGATTTGTTTTACTCGAGAATACGTATCACAACGAGTAATTCATAAAGAAGAAATCGCTCATAAATCGCGAGAATACTAATCGTGATGCATCTTAACTCAAATTTTAAAAAAGCTGTAGAGTATCCTTAAATAATCATTACAAAATTATTTTCAAATGCATGCATTATGCATTTCGGAATTTGCACTAGATTCTAATAATATCAGCACAACAAACAGAAACATCTGAACATCCTACAAGTAGAAGAGGATCGTTGTGTATTTCAACCAAAAATGTTCACCTGAGCAATTTGAAAATGTGGTATATCATTATATACCCTCTAACTTGAATATACTATTTTGAAATACAAATCCTAAGACGAATTTTAACATGGTTGATAGTTTCGACTATCTTCGGATTACGAGAACAATTTCTCTTGTAGGTGAACATTCCCCAAATATTGAAAAAAAAATTGAGTTCCACAAAAATAAAAACTTACTAACGCACTCAGAAAACTAATTTATCACTGAACCAGGAGAATTGAATAATTGTGAAATTATTTTATACAATGACATATTTTTGCTGGCATTGAATAAAATGATTAATGCCAAACAAAAATATTACTTTTCTTGTGAATTTGGATTTTGAAATGAGTATTGAGAAATCAAGTAATTAAATTTTCTTAGTTTTTGTTTGTTTTTTAAAACTACTATGTCTGGCTGTAACTTTTTTAGCTTAACATGAGTTTTGAAGGACTTTGAAAGCAGAGACTTTTTTTAACATAAGAAAAAATTCTTTTTTTAATTTAATTTGATTAAATAATTTTTTAATTTAATTAAGAACAACATTTTAACACCATTTTACAACATTTTTATCTGAAATGTTTTAGCCTTGAGAGCTGAGTTCTGAAAACTTCTTATAAAAAGTATCCTCACAGTGGACACGATATCTTAAAAAATAATGCGCCCATCTTATTTATATGTTGCACACTTCTCTAGGTATAGAATTGACTATATATTGAACAAAATGGTTTCCCTTTAAGCGCAACTTAGTTTAGAAGGCAATGATGTAAATTTAAATTTTGCCAAAATCACATTTTACTTATTATTAATATTTCATTTCATTTTTTTTACACGCAACTCGACTTAAAATTCAAACTTCAAAATGTTTTGGAATCCTCCGTTTAATCAGTATCTAGTCAATTCTACTATACTAATACATCGACCATATTCAAATTTTGCACACTTCTTCAAGATAGAATTGATTACAAAATACACTGAAGGCTTATAGCTTTTTTAGAAGGCAACGCATGGTATAAATTTTATCGAACAACGCGTTTTCGATTTTTATTTATTTATCTTTTGTACACAGCTCTGCCAAAAATCAAACTTAAACTTTTTTTAAAAATAATTCGCTTATTCCATATTTTATTTAATTTTATAACTGTCGTTGAACAGTCAACCCAAATTTGAATTTATGGCTACTAATGTTCAACTCCGTTTGAGTAATAACTTTTTGACTCGTATCATTTTATTGTAAATCCACGTAATGTTTCTACAATGTTTTTTTCTACATTTTTTCGACAGTTTTTGCGATGCATTCCCACTTGGTTTTAAAAATTCCGAATTTTACTATGAGTAGCGTATTTTAAATTACGCATTTAAATAATTACTTAAGGGTGCGCTTTATTCGTGCTGATATCATTGTAAATGAAAAAAAAAAAATTTCCCGTTATTTCCGATCCGTTATTTTCACTACGATGTTATTACGACACGCGAGTTACTAATCGCCTATTTAAATAATCACTTTTTGATACTATTTATTTATGCATATTTCATTGTAAATAAATATAAATAACTTTCCGTAGTTTTTTCGGCAGTTAGTGTCATGCATGTGTAGGTTATTTAGAATTCTGATATTTCACTATGTTCTAGCAACATGAAAAAATCGAAAAGTGGAGGAAAACGCGAAGTTTTAAACTGCTCACTTTTGTAATTTTGTTTTAAATTTCTTGTAGTTAATATGAATTTTTTCAGGAAAAATTTGGGAAAAAAATACCTTTTCTATTTAAAATTTGAAAAACATATAATAGTTTAATAATATAGTATAATATCAAATAAATATTTATTTATTTTATATTTTGCATACAGTTTTCTGTCAAAAATCAAACTTTAATGTTATTTTAAAGCCTGCCGTTCAATATTTAGACAATTCTACCTATTTCAATTTTTTTTAAAAAAAATTTTACGGATAGAATTAAAAATGCAATCGATTTGTTGAAAACATTCTTAAAGCTTGGTGCCTGTGTTCTTCAAAAAGTAAACAATATAGAAATAGCGGCGAACTATAGCCACAATCGGGTTTTTTAGTACTGCACCCACGGAATATAATGCAGGGCTGGTAAATTTAAACAACATTAAACACTCAAAATATCGAAATCACAAGATGTTGTAGAGATGGGTTATCTATACAACTTCTACATACAAAATAACAAGATTCTAAAACCGGAAAGGAATCTTAAAAACTTTCGCGGTAACCCTTCGTTTTTGTTATGTTTGCGATGTGATATTCTAATTCTACTATTGAGACAAGTAAATAAATTTATACGCAATTTTACTCTTCATCAAATTTTTCTGCAATATTTTTATTTTATTCTATTTATTCATTCATTCTTTTGTTAGCTATATTTATTTCACTTAGATTGACTGCGAGAAAAGTTTTGTAAAACATTATTTTCAGAAGACAAAATTCACATAGTAAAAAAGAATAATGGGAAAAAAAACATTGAAAGAAAAAACACAAAATTTTGGCGATGTGTTATTCTCTCTAAAATTTATATTAACTTAACCCATTCCATTAAGGCCGTTGAGCTCAAATTTACTGCCATTAAACATTCTTTCAAGTGCAACTAGATAATTTTTAAAAATTTAATTTATATACAAGGATAAATTTGAATCAATGACTACTCTTGTGCGGAAAGGAATTTTTTAAATTTTATATTTTTTTAACGCATGTTTTGTAACCATATATTATCATATATTATGCACCAATTAGCAAACGCTCACTCAGGGTGTTAATCTTATGATAAGTTAAAAATANTAAAAATTATAAAAGGATGGAGGAAAACTTATTGACAAATCCCCCTCCACCCTCAACACACTAGCTTCTGGCGAACAATATTGGCGAGACGATGCTTTTATCAGAAATTGTTTTACTGCATGAATGAAGTAGGAGGGATGGTCATAAGGGTTGCCTTAAGCGCAGTTCACCAAACTTTATTAAAGGGGGATAAGATGTTAGTAGCGCAGTCCACCATATTTCAGAAAACCACTAGCGCAATCAGGTATCACCGTAGTTTTTATTTTTAAAATCACTCGCTTAAAAAATATTATTTTTATCTTATCTTCTTATCACAATACGATGACTGCAATTATTGGTATTAGAAAATTTTTAAAGTTGAAGAAAAGAGTATGAAATAAAAATATTAAGTATGAAATATGAAAAGTTCCTTTTTGAAAAACCATTGAATGTTAATTTTAAAACAATGTTTAGTTAATTCATCAACATTTAATTAACTAAAAATATTCTATTCATTATATTTACTTAATCCAGATTCAATTTTATCTGGCGACGTTTTTTTTCCTGTTGTTTTTTACAATGATTTATTTTTCAGTGCACTTTTTTCAGGTTGTTTTTCCAGTACTTTCTACCTGTAAGAATATTTATTCTCAGGTATGACGGAGACTGATTTTGCTAAGTATAACTTTGCCGTTGTCCTTTCCCAGAGCAATTTGTAACAATTGTAGTTAACAGTTACATCCCCAAAATAGTCAGGAAACAAGAGAATTGCGTTTATAAGCGAAGTGGTACTTAAAAACTTTTCAACATCCAGTTTCTTTTGTTTTGTTTGTAACACTTTCTCTTTATTAGATTCGGGAAAATGTTTTTCTTCTGCCCTATTAAAATAATTTACCATCAATGTTGGCATTACTTTCCAATTTTTTGTAAACTCATAGCAAGGAATTTAATTCTTCTACCTCAAATTGAAGAGTTTAACCAGTACAAAATCTATCAATTCCATCTTCTTTGAAAGAAGACTTGTTAGCACTCTGCATTTACAAGAAATAAGGATTTGTTGCGTAAGCGTTCAGATTTATTTGAAAACTCCGACATATTTTTCTAATATAAGAATGCAATAAAAATTGCAGAAACAATATCCCTCTCATAAAATTAAAGAAAAATTAAAACGAGTGTTTTAGAACCAATCCACTGGTTATCAATGAGCTTCTCTTATTTAAACTATGAGTTGAAAATGTAATGAACTTGGCTGAAAAGAATAATCCCCACTAAAAAAAAAGTACCCTCCAACAAAAATAGAGATTTTGAAATGTAATACACAAGTAAAAAGTTCCTTTTAAACTAAACTACTAGTTGTAAAAGCATTTCTCTTACTTGTTATTTTGTGTGATTGTAAAGTTGTGCAATGATGATCATGCAATAAATTTAGCTGGAAAAATATCACCCCGTAAAAAAAGATTTTAAAAACTGCCCTCCCCTCAAATAATAAAAAATAATCAAAAACATTTTTTATATTTAATTTACAGTTTTTGATATTACAAAATACCGGTATGAAAAGCTAAGCCCCCCTATGGCCACCTCTAGTAACCTCGAAGACTTATTGCAAATATTAACAGCAAACGACGCCTATGTTTAGTTTTATACTGTTAAAAAAACCCTACTAACTTAGATGTGACGGAGAAGGAAAGGGTAGGAAACCTCGGGTTCGTGGGACCCGTGTTTACTTAAAGAAGGCACTTGGAAGAGAAAATAAACTGAATCTGATAGATTACGGAAAGTAAATGAATGTACAACTTACAACATGACTGGTGTTCATCTTCTCCTTCTTCACAATCTCGCTGATAGTCGCATACCCACCGCCTGGGTATACACCTTCCATTTAAACAACGAAAATTATCTGGCGTACATGATATCGTCTCTGAAAACAACAGAAACATAAATTAGTTAAAAATTCAAATAATACTCTTCATTTTGATTTTAAAAAAAATGTTTAAAATTTTAATTATAAACAATTTACATACACCTCCATTCATTAATTTCAATAGAAATAACTATTATTATTTTTTTTCTTCAGTTTTAATGCAGCTACAAAAAGAAAGAGCTACATGCACCAAGTATAAAAACTATTCCATTTATATATTATTTTATTCAAGTAAAGAAACATCCTTCACAACAAAGATTTTGTATAAAAACTTTCCCTCATCAAAGAAATCTCATTAGAAGCGACCACCCCTCTACACACACTCATCCACAGCGATTGCATTGGGTAGTTTGACCAAAACTGTGGGAATCTAATATTATTAAAACTACATTGAATCACCTACTTCAGACGATTTCGGCCTGTAATATTTATCTCCATATACATTTCTCTTACACGGTAGCAAAAAAAAATTTCTCATTTTTTGGCAACAAAAAATTGAAATATCAAGTGCGTGAGCTGTCATAATCATGAAAGCGTAAACGTACACATTTAAAAATTATGGACAACGAAAAGATAAAACAAACTGAGGATTGATTACAAGGTTAAAGGCGAATAGTTCATATCAACAAACGAAGTATTCTATATTATGTTTCGATTATACTTATGCAGTTTTAATAATAATTATATTTATTATTGTCATTTATTGAAAAATGAGTATAAGTGCTTAAGTTACCAGAAATTTGTTAAAAGTAATTGTTTTTTAAAAGCATAATTATTGCTTTGCTTTTGGACGTTTTTTTATTGCGTGTCTTTTATTTCAATTTAAAACTTATTATTTTTACAACCAATAATTTGACAAAAAATTCTAATTTTTAAAGATTAATTAGTTTTAAAGATTCAAATAATTAATTTAGATTCCTAAGATTTTAAGCTGGAACACATTTTAAATATGTTTAACTTATAGGCGAGTATGCTTTGTTAAACAAACCATATAAGCACGCATAGCAATCTTCGGGGGTTGTGGAGCATCAACGAACAGGGGCGGAGCCCATAGTATTCTCTAATAAATGACACTCAAAGGCTCATCTAACACCAAATAACTTGGTAGTTCCGTCCTTGCTCGCTTCGCTCCCCAATCTCCCACAATTGCTTAGCTATCACTAAAATTAGTCAATTAAAAGATTTCAAAATGTATTATTTCATTAATACAGAATTGATACGGCAGGTTTAGTTTCCAATTCTATTAGGATAAAAATTCTATCCAATTATATTGCTTGGTTATCATAGTTTCTTTATGCAAAAAAGTTATTTTTTAAATTCGCATTTAAATTTCAGTTACTACAAAAACTCAATAAATATTTTTCTACAAAGAGCTCATTTCTATCATTAGTGTGAAAAATTCCTAATATTGATTTGGAATTTTCATTAATTATTTAGTGTTCCTGAATTTAATTGCATACGTTATCAGGATACAGTTTTACTTGAAGTTTACATAAAAGAAAAAATGCTATTTATATATTATTAATGAACATGAAATGGTTTTTTATGTCCTGATATTACCTCATGCCTGAAAATATTTAGCAACAGTGAGGTAGGTTAACTTTTATCAAGAGTATGGGACATACAGGGTTATTCATAATTCCCTCCGAATTATGAAGGGTTTCGAAGCGTTATAGTAAAAAAACGAAGACGAATATGGCAAAAAAGAACATATAAAATTATTCCGAAAGTATTCAAGTTTTAATTTAAGCAGTTGCCGGTAGATGGCAGTAACATGTACCACTGAAGCCAGTTGTAGTAAAGAAAAATGGCGTTTAAAGGCGGAGGGAATTATGAATAACCCTGAATTTCAAAATACTTTTATAGATATAAAATGTACTATATTTTTAATATTTTCGAAAATAACACGATATTTGCCTAGAAGCCTGCATTATTTAATTACAAAATTATTTTTCATTAGGTAAACACTATCTGGCTTAAGAGAAAACTATGCAAAAGAACAATTCTGTTTCACCTTCATTGGTATTTCAAAATTTAAAGTTAAGTGATTTCAAGTAAAATTAGGATAAACCATGAAGTTTCAAATGCTGAATAAAATTTTTTTCTTCTTCACAATATCAAAAACAAACAAATTATTGCAGGCTTACTTCCTTACTGCGTACTCCTGAGTAATTCTGCCACGGTTTGTTTGTATGCATTTGCCAGAGAATATTAAATACATACTTTGAATAAGAATGTAATAAAAAATACAAATCTTTAAAAAATCAAATAACTAATTCAGCGACTTCATATCGCACACCATTTGGCAAACATTGATCCCAAGAGAAACAACTTTCTTCTGACTTAAACAGGTTAAAATATGAATCAAAGTTAACCTGTGTGAAATTCACATTCAACCATGAGAGATCTAAACACAGATTTACGAAATCACGTTCTCAACGTGACAAATAATAAAAGCCAATCTTCTTTACCTATATTTATGTCAATTTAGGCGGAGATCCTTACTTGGCATAAAAAACATCCTAACCAACAAGTGACCCACCCGCTGATTTTAATTTGTTAACTCATCCAAAAATGCTAGTAGGTTTTGATGATACGGGTAGTCATTAATCTATTTCCAGTTTTTTATATTTTATTTTTAAAAAAAAAAAGGTTTTTCACACAAATATAAAGAATGACTGTGTTTTATTTGAAATACAAGAGACTATTCCAGATTGTTTGCGAAAGGTTCGTTTTTATGGAAATGTAAAAAATTTACTAAAATGCTGTGAATTTGAGGAAAAGGATCACGATTTTGAGAAAAAAAAATACTAAGAACAGTAGCCTGCTCAAACTTCTGCAGAATTTTTTTTTCCTTTTTTTTTTTTGAAAATTGAGAAAACTCATAATTTTGAGAAAAAAAATACTAAGAACAGTAGTCTGTTCAAACTTTTGCAGAAATATTTTATTTCTTTATTTATTTTTTTGCAAAATTGAGAAAATTCTACTCATAATTTTGAGGAAAAAAATACTAAGAACAGTAGTCTGTTCAAACTCTTGCAGAGTTTTTTCTTTTTTTTTCTTTTTTGCAGAAAATTCTACTCATAATTTTGAAAATATACTCGTATGAAAATAAGGTTTAGTTTTCATGAGGAAAAAAGGTACAGCACAAGAACAAAGTCTTCTAAGGAGTTAGACGTCAATGATTCCGTTTTTCAAAAGAAAACTTGAAAGATCTGTTTCCAGAAAAAATATGTTGCTAAGAGTTCGTTCAACATTAATGTTTTTTTCTGAAGTGTCCATTATAATGATAAAAAATATTATGATGGGTCCGCTAATGGTCCCAAATTTCTCCTAAAATGACCCCTGAGTACATATTAAATTTACCAGAAATTAGTTACGTTAATATTGTAGTAAATAAACGTGTTTAATACAGAATTTAATAAACAAAATACGGTATAAAAGCATATTAAACGAACCCTTTTATGGACTTTAGTACAGTGCCTTTGACATCATCAAACATGCCTTTTTTTATATGGATTCGGATTTTTGATACCTTTGAAATATATAAGCGGTAGCCACAATCTGGGAAATAGATGGTACCAATAGTTTGTCGAGAGAGCGGTTCGAAGTTTGGACCCTTTAATGTTTATTTTATTTTATTTATTTATTGATTTTATTATTATTATTATTTCGCGTATTTCGACATACCTCGAGAGCTTTTTAAGTGAATTGAAAAAATTTTGCACACAATTATAAAATTTGTTTTTCTAAAAATGATTCCATTCAAGAAAAAGAAAAATAAAACTTATAGTTAATAATTATATTCTTTTTTATTTAATAGTAATCAAAACATTTCGAGTTGTTAAGTATACAATTTTTTAAAATTATTTCAGAGAATGTAATTTTAAATGGCAAAAAAAAAAATTTCAGCGAAATCCATAGAATAGTTACTAAGAAATCGAATTGTGAAAATACGCTTATAGTAACTAGACTGCTATAGTAGAGTGGTAATGACCATTGTAATGAGCAAACTAATAAGATTTATTTCATATAAACAAAAAAAGTTCTAATTTAAAAATCCATTCAATCCAAACTTCAATTTTGACTAGCACACATAATCTAAACAAGTTAGAGTAATTTGAATGAACATGAAATTTAAACTCATCATTTTTTTTTCCAATGTAAGAAACTCTAGTAAGACACGTTTTCTTTACTACCAATAATGAATTACGACCATGAAGAGTGAAAATTTAAATCTTTCGTTTTCATTAGGACACTCTTCATAAAATATTAAATTTAAAAAGATAAGAAATCCGTGGTCCACACTGCTTTAACTCTAAGATGCAATCCCCATCTCTGTTAAAACTGAACTGTGTGCAGGGGTGTAAAAAAAAAAAAAGTTGTCTTCAAGTTGAAAAATTCAAGAAACTCACCCCTTTGAAACTAATTTAGACATTCATAATTTACATTTTATGATAAGAAACAAAACAGAAGTGGGGGAGAGCGAAAACTAGAATGAATTTAGGCCGTTAAAATATTTAATCAGTCGTTTTTAGGTCGTTATTTACTTTGTAGCGAAGGACCATTTATATAATGAGAGATTAAGATGCTGTGAATGAGTGATCTTCCACCTGTCATGATTGGAAAAATAAGAATATGGAATTAGGATATCTCAATTTCTCTGAACGTTAGCTGTGACCCTGACACATTCAAAAAAAACCAGAATGCACAACAAATTAACTGCTGTTGGATGACTCATATTTCAATAACGGTAAAAGGATTAACATAAAAAGAGCTAAAGCACAGTACAATAAACAATAACGCTTATTATTTAAAAGTATTTAAATAAACAAATTACATATGAGGCTTAACATAATTAACCTACAAGGATTCAATTTAAAATACAGTATAGAACCCGTTATCCGGAAATCAGAAAACCGGAAAACCGGAAAACCGGAACGAAATTCGATAAATTTTCCCGCAATTTTTTAAAAAAAAATTTTTTTTCCTCATAA